AAACCCCGTCATTTGTACTCGTAAAGTCGCAGAATTCAGGATGATTTTTTTTTTGGTGCGTATCGATGCCAGGGCGCAGCACGATCGAGATAAATTGGCGGCAACGTCGATTAGTTTTCCCTTTAATAGAATTAATATTAACGACGTGAAATTATCGGGCTACAAACTGTTACTATACCGGCAATCAACGCCAGAGTTATAATCGAAGATTGTAATCGAAAGCAGGCGTGGCCTCCAGATGCGCCGATGCGCGCGACTGTCTTATTTTAAACGCAAAAGAGTACCGTCATTTGCTTGTATAATAGATCGACGACATTTTTGCGCCTTATCCTTGGGCACTCCAGGGAGTCTAAAATTAAACGCGCGACGGATAACGTTTATTTATCAACTGACAATGCGGCCAATAGAATCTTAGAACGTGCCCATAAGATTCGAGAACCAAAGACATAAGTCTATGGGATATCGTCTCATAGACTGTATCTTCTTTATATACGAACATGATTCCTGCAAATGTCTATCGAAGCATAAAATACTTAAATCTGATTTCAGTAATTAATAGTAGTTTTGTACTCGAAAAACGATGCCATTGCTCTGGAACAAACGCACCGCGTAACTCGGAAAATTGAGCGAAGTTTCGAGGTGCATAAAGTACGCGTTTAAAATTATTTTTGCTTCTGAAATTAAATCTTCCATAGAGATTCTGATAAAAACTATTCCACCGTAAACGGGCAGCGTGGCTGAACAGGGGGCATTCCACGGTAATGAATATAGCAAAGTGAATTTTGTAAAACCTAGATCTCAAAGCAGATGAGCAACTCATATTATAAACAGGTTATCGTACATATGTATAAGGTCGAGTAAAAAGTGAGCACTTAAGACTAGGAATTAAAATAAAACTCGTGCGCGCAAAAAGAGAGGACGCTGTAAATTTTTACGCTGGTTTTGCATAATGACTCCAGGTGTTGTGCTACCTTTTACGTAAATATAAACTTGTGAAATTAATAAACGAGGAAAAACAGAATCTTAACGAAAGTTAACAATTGACTGATAAGTGTTAGAAAGGTATGGAAAACGCAAGGAAAATGTAAACGTAAACAGGATATTAAAGTATTCTTCTTAATGGAGACTTTCTATTTTCTCAAATAGAATATTGCAAAAGATTATACTTGATCGATCTCGTTTCTTTGTATGTTAATTCATAGATTACTTTCTACATCTTTTTCCTACGGTGCTCCATGTCGTTGTATTTTAACGATGCGTCATTATGTGGCTAGAACTGGTCGTGTTGGGGACAATAAGACAAAACCAAGTATAAATTAATGGGTTTCGGTTATATTTATTAGAGATAGTGGCTGACTCACTAACTGGTTGATTCAGGCTAATGGAAGAATTATGGTATCCATTTGTAGTTGTTACATGCTTAATATCATACACATCGATCTATCTATTTTTAGCACGAAAAAAAATAATGAGTACCCCCTGCTAATGCGAAAGAAGATAATGCTGAGCTCCTGATTAAAAACGATGCCAATTATTGATACGGTATCGCATCGATTACGGAACAATTCATTAAACTAAATCGACTATATTATCCAATGAAACATTAATCGTGTGTCGAGATACGAGTCAATACGATTACAAATTGGAAAACCCTCGATTGATAAACAAGATGGAAAATTTTAATAAATTTTAATTTGGTAATTTGATTTTTATGGTCTCAACTGTAAGGACGAGTGGACATTACAATTAACTTTATGTAAGAAAGTGAAACATTCTTCAAAAGTCAGAAGTTAACAATGAAAGAGATTGTAGAACAGGATGACACGAGATTGCTATCTATTTGCATTCTTTCTTAAAAGTGGCGCGAAGGCCAACGAGTTGGAAACAAAACTGAAAACCGTTAATAAGAATTTCACCAAGGACCAAACCTCAAATTCGTTCCTTTTCGATGGGATCAGCCTAAATATGTATGTATAGTCCGGTCAGTTTATATGAATTCTTTCGATGGTGTACGTACATCAGAAACGCGCGACTGGATGCAGTTCGATAAATTCATTCTTGTCACGCGTCATTCTCGAACGAGTACAGTGAATACACTTGACCTTCATCCGTTTCAGATACACTATTCTCGAACTCGTGTTTCAACTAGGCCAAATTTACTAGCTTTTTTGAAATAAATACACGAAGGAAGCCTTTTGTACACTCCAAATCAGCTCGTTTCTTTAAATTAATACTTTCATTAATCTAATGACCATCAAAACTGGATAATTATAGAGATATATTGTTCGTGTATGATTTTAATCTGTTTGGGAATAAATTGCCTTGTAACACAGGAACTGAACTAATCGTTGACACTGACCCGTGACAACTGTTCATTTTACGATCATGTTGCTGTGTTATATCACTGGAAAATGTAGTTACATTCATGTTACAATATCTAAAACAGCATGGTCATCGATATTTTACGTATTGTACGTACGTAATGTTAACCTTCGAACGATCTTTAATAATAATGAGAGAGATATGGAACAGAACAAAATTTACAAAATATTCTGTGTATTTTAAACACAGAATTATTCCTTTTTAAAGGAGGGAGTGTTTCAATAAGTTTGAAAACCACTGGTCCACTATATTTTCATTCAACGGTCCGCGCATGCGCGGATAACGGTCGAACTCGCAGAAAGCAAAGCGCGCGCGACGATTTATTTGCGAAAGACGTGCTTCCCGCGTGGAAAACCGTAAACAGTCTGGTCACCGGCGACAGGAATTAATTAATCCCGGGGAAATAGACGGTTGCAAATAATCGTATCGTAATAATGGCGTTCCCGATGATTAAGGCCGACCCAGTCCGAGGCAGAGGTATGCAGAGAAAGTAGGAGCCCCCTCCGTATACGCCTATGTCCGGTCGTTGCACCGACCAGTATATACACTTCTTTCTTTTTAACCTCTCGCAATATTGGTCAGCGTGGATTTCGGACTGACGTTCGATTGATTTTTCGACGAAATTTCACGACCCGAAGAAACAAACGTCCACTCGCCAGATTTCATACGTTTGAACCATCGAGTTTTCAAATATGGCGCGCGAGAAGAAAACACAATGGCTTCTAATAGGTACTGGGGGCTGCACGAACTATTTAGTATTCGAATGTTTTATTCGAAAGCTTCGAATCTCTGATTATTAATATTTCGTACAGAGTTGGGCACATTTTATTCACGATTAGCGAATAACGTTAGAGATTCTTCAAACGCATGAATTTGCGATAGAAGGACGACGCATCGGTTCAGTTAGAGGCATCGGGGACTCTTTTTAAGACGTCTGTTAACCACCGATGGATCGAACGAGCGATTACGCTAGTTAGAGCTTAACCTTGCTCGTCGTCTAACTGCAAGAAGTATTGCGTACTTCCGGCTGATCATTCACGTGTCTCGGGCCCGGCGATTCGAAATACTCACGAACGCATGTTTACGTCGTGTTGTCTTTAATTGCTGTTTGTCAGTAAAACTTAATTACCCAGCCGCGCCGTGGCAAAGACTTCTCTCCGTGCTACGTAATAATTAAAGATGTTGAGATGCACGTGGAGTTCGGAACGTATGCGTTCTCCGATCATTGACAAAACCGGTTTTTTTAAAATTCCCATCAAATTTCTCTGCACTGGACTGCATTATAACATCGTTCGATGATAACGTTACAGGGGAAAACATCACTTTCGTTCGATTAGACATTCCTCGACTAGCCATCGATGGCAAACTTGTGGAGCCAAAACTGTGTTGCATTAGCATACACGAGAGTCAAGAATTACGTAACTTTTTACTAAAGTAACACCAAAAATTCATATTCTTTATTATAACAGTCTCTGCAAACGTAATTTCAGTTCTCCTCGGCAAAGAATATAACCGTATACAGATTAAAGGAGGAATACAAAATCGAGCATAATCATACATTCTTTCGTTTCAAATACTACGATACGATTATAATTTAAATTTAATATTTGAACAAAATGGACGATGAGGACCGATTTTGTATTCCTCGTTTAATACCTGTGCAATCATTATTATATATATATAATTTACTCAAGAAGACCGGAATTATAATCGAGACCGTTACAGATACGTATGTACATACAATGACGAATATAAATTCTACTAGTAACAACAAGAACAAAATATTATATAAACATATGCTTCAAACTATTCGCCAAGTTACAGACTCCTGAACTCCCGTGTTAAACAAAACGTTTTAAACGGCCTTCTCCGGCAAGGATACAAATTTCACGTCGTGGGCTTGTAGATTACTATCGTTATTGTTATTTTTATGGTCATCGTCGGTGTCGACGAACTTCTTCGTTTAAACATGTCCCTTAATGAGAGACTTTGAAAGACTTGCCAACAAAGACTGTCAGGACGTGACATTTTTATTGCTACAATTAGCACAATATACGCCTAAAGTTGGACGAGATCATCTGCAAACCCCCTACGTATCGAGGACGGAAGTAAGGGATACCGAGAGCTAGTGTGATACAATTAATACGCTATTGCAAGCAGTTCCAGGAAGCAGTACTTTGTGACAACTTTTTAAATAAAATAAATGCTCCTCGATACGTTAGAAGATTCTTTAATATCGAATTGTCTTAAGACTAAACTTTTTTCCAATAATTCCTTTTTTATTATTAGGTACTATTTAAATTTAATATGTTCTCTTTATCCTATTAAATTGTGAGGAAGGTTTGCAGACTATTTGATCGTCACAAAAGGGAGTCGCCGCTCGAAAAAGATTGATGTGCACCGATACTTTGGGGGCAGATTTTTAAGTCGCGACCGTAAAAGACAGTTTAAATCGGGAATCGCGTTGAAAAGCGAAGGTCGTCAATTAGGAATCGAGAATAGTTGGTGAGCAAGAAGCTAATCAACGTGCCTGGCAACGAAAGCGCCGTCGGTACTTAATGGCCAGGCTCTCCGCGCCGCGTAAAGACAAAGAAAATCAGATAAACCGATTCACGTACCCTTGGCCCATCCAGTGAGAACGTTCCCAAGATAAGCGACCTTATAGCAAGGGTCGTACTCGGTGATGGAGGCATTACCCCTGTGCCTCCTCCACAGCCTGCCGAGACCTCTCTTCAAGGACCTCAGGGTCCGTTGTCCGAATTCCTTGCCGGGTGTCGCGTTCTGCCCCGAGCCGGAGGTACCGTTCTGCTCGTCGACGGGATCCGCGACCACGTCTCCCATCGTCTTCATGCTTGCACAGTCTGTCTCGAAACGAATACCCCCCGAAGCGTCGTCCGTCGTCACCTGTCGCTCGTTCAAGGGCTTCCTTCTCGTCCAAACGGTCGACGAAAATTCATGGAAGCCGGGCTACATCGTGCGACTTCCGGTAGCTGGTCCCGTGGACGACGACGACGTGGATCGCGCGTGGATTACGCCTCGCGACCAAGGAGCCCGACCTTTCGGTTGTCCCGAGCACAAGTTATCCCGACCAGGTGGATGAGCTCTATCGAGGTCACGACCGGTGCTGCTGATCGAGAGAGGTTGTGAAACTCGAATAAATCTCTCCCGATGCCGAGTCTGCTGCACGACGACCACTCAGCGCGCACCTCCACACACCTCAAGGCCGACCTCTCGTCGTTATTCTCACGTACGGTAAGGAAGGTCGACGGTTCTCGTAAAAACCCGGGTTATATCTTCCGGGGGACCTCCTCACGTCTCTCCTTTCGCCGGCGAGAAGCGACGATTCCGCCGGTTCCTGGAACAGAAACAACCATCCAGGAATTAGACACGAATTTAATCGCAACGACCGCGCGTTAATTAACCGGAAGATAATCGTCGTCGAGACGGGTCTCGCTCGCGAGAGGCGTCGTTACGCGGTTTGACGTCGACGCGACAATTGACAAGGATGACGCGACTAATGCTATTTGTTTCTTCGCGATAATAAGGAATAACGATACGGAACTGTGCATCGAGATGCATTTCTAAGGACAGACGCGCAGTTTTACGCGGAAGCGCGCCTCCTTCTGTAGACTGAATTGAAAATGGCTCGTAATGTTCTTCGATTGTCTCTTTATACTTTGAATTCTAGTACGTTCTGGTTAGTACTGCACAATAAAGCTGTAACAGTGGTAATACCACGAAGTGTCGACTAGAATTTTCATAAATTTCATAAATTTTTTAAAAATTATCCCCGTGAAACGGATGCAGAATGTTTATAAGAAGTTCGAATAGTCTCTTGGATGCAAATCGACGCGGGAGGTGAAGCTTCTCGCGATCACAGAGCACCTCGAAGTTGGTTGTGCTATTTTTAAAATTTGGACCCCCTTAAACATAGTACTGGTGCAAAGAAACTCCAGCATTGCGCGTGGGTTTGCCTACATACGGGATGATTGTAAAATCTGGGACAAAAGCGTGGCCCTTTCTACGCGAAGATGCAAACAATTGACAAAGGAAAACGCTGAATACCCTAATGGAAGCTATCTTTTTGTAATATAAGTTCCTTTCTCGAATGCAACGTACATCTATATACAAATGCATCAAACAAGAATTCGCCTGCTCTTAAAATTAGCACACGCGCCATTAATTTGCAAGCTTCTATTACTTATCAGTAGACTGCGGATGTTTATGCATTTATGGGAAATTTTAATCCTGAAAAAACTACAGAACGCATTTAATATGCAAAAATATAAGAAATACTTAAAGTAAGATACGAAGTATTATATTTAGGGGTTGACACAGCCCTCTGCGAAGCTTCCGTTTACTTATCAGCAACGAATCATTCTCAAATTTATATTTATTATAATTTTTCGATTTTATTTTCATGAATGCTGGTTGTAAATTTTTCCTGTTTTGTTGACGAGTCAAGATTCACGGTTGTAACATTGCAAATTAGATTCTTGGCGGAAAATAAATTATAAATTGGTTCCGATGTACGCAGCGAGCGTTCAAAGTTTATTTTCGAGATATTCGAACACTGTAGAATCGAATAAAAAAATGGCATGCCTAATACAATGAACTAATGAGCACGTGGAAATCTAATCACAGGCGTTCGTTTTTACACGAGTGCAATTATGTAGAACACATTTATCATTACGAAACTTATCATTTATATAGAATGTAAAAAAATATTTTACATACGACACAGGTTTCTGACTAAACGGCTTCGTTATTAAATTTTCTTCGTATCCGTAACTGAGAAAAAAATTCGTTAATCATAGTAGCCTGAATCCTCTGATTTCAAAAAATGGAAAAAACATATGTTGTTGGTATATACGTTTCCTGTCCATGGTTTATAACGTTCAACGCTGCTTTTTTTTTACGTCGAACGAAGCAAATTGCTTTTCAGATAAAACATGTTTCGATAATTGCGTTAATAGTGAACACATTTTATCTCACATTCTCAAAAGCGCAGTTTCACCTAAGTGGCGTTTATGTTTTCAGGGTTACTTTATATAACGAGAACTAGTATCATTTACACGATAACATGAAACATAATTTTGTAAGAGTGCTAATACCAAATTTTCTTTCTATAAACTGTGTAAAAAAATTAATTTTTACTCGATTAAATTCAAGAAATAATTACCTAACGCTCGTAAAGCGGTGTTTTACGCGCAAACTCGTCGACTATCAATAAGATACGTAAACATGCAACAAGATAAATTCTACAGTATAGTTTTTTGAATATCTTTTCACATTCTGCGTCGAACCAGCGGTCACGGTGACCCGTCACACAGGTACGAGGAACATTAGCGATAAATACGTGACAAATGTGATACGAAGAAGGCGTAATATTCATGCACGTTTCACGATAACAGGCATTACTTAAAAATATATCGCGAAACGCGTTAAAAAATGCAACAAAATGTTCCACCGTAGGTGTAGATATTTGGTGACTTCATTTTTTCTTTTTTAAATTAAATGATTCAGAGGTCTAATCATTTGATGGCCAAGAAATTCCTCTGGGTCGATTGTCAGGAGATGAAAGCTGCGTTCTCGAGATATTCCTTAATGTTTACAACTTTGGTACAATAAAAGCTAATTATTATTATCAATTTCGCCCATCGTTGCAGAGTAGGTTGGTACAAGATTATGTTTTCCCCCTAGACGGAGTTGCATTCAGGATGCCAAGGTCAACTAACCGTGCCTATTCACGAGCAATGGACGCTCAAACAGCAACGGTAAACAGAAATGCTTTCAATTGCGACGTAAATCTTTTTCTAGAAATCAATACGTCGCATACCGTCGTCTATCGAGTCGACGTCACATACATCAGCCAAACAAAGTGAATCTAGCACGAGCCTGCTCTTGGCTGCCTCCTTTGCAAGATCCTCGATCCTTCTTACTTCGCTACTCTCTGCTCCGTGCCGATCTTTCGTGTCATCTCTGCCACATTTCGAAATTCCAGGACATTAACTGCTAACAGCGTAAATGTTCACGAGTATACTATACTTTAGATTAATATTCCTAGATAAATGTACCGGCGTAATCGCCTCGAATCTCGTTTTAATATTACAAACGATTCGAAAAACGTTTTCAACATCTCGGCGAGGTTCCCTGGACTTGCGAGGCGTGCAAACGGAAACGATTACAAGGATGGACGAAGATAAGCGGAAAAGTTGGTACACGGCTTACTGAATTTCGAGCCCAAGGCTCTTCTCTTGCACTTCGGCACGGACTGAACCGTAGAAATCGTCTAGGTTCTTGCCCGGTTAACTTATCTTACCGGAAATTACGGTTTCGAACGGAAACCTTGCGGTCGGATCGGTACGAAACGTTGCCCAAGACTCGTGGAGCTGTCGCGCTAAAAGAACCCGAATTCTCTTAAAATTCTTGATTAAAATCTTCGAAACAGCGAAATTTCGTTAGAAATAAAAACGAGTCGTACAACAATATTCCTTCAAATCGGGTGGATAATCGAGCTCCGAAATCTTACAATTACATATTCAATTTATTTGCATGTCCTGCAAGCACGATTAAACATCTCTGTCAGTATACACGAACCACTAATATTTCGATAACAACTGGTTTTTGTATTTACAATTATATTTCGCGTAATCTTTCCTGTTTAAAAACGTGCTCGTTATCTTTTCCTTTCAGGAAGAGAAACACGTGAAATACGTCAACGTACTGCGCTCACGTGTGCTCGTAACAGCGACAAAATCGTTATCATAGAAAAACTATCGTTCTAATCAATCGTAGATAATTGTTTCTATGAAACCGCTGGGATTTACAACGAGCTGTAACGCTTGTTTCCTGTACGTTATTAAAAACTCGCGCAGACTCTCGTCTGTGTGGCACGAGATTCAGGATATTTGGACAAAACAAAGTCCAGCGAACATTTGATTAGAAAAATCGTAAAAAGTCATTAGGCTGCAGATGTACCGACGAGACAATATGCATTTTAATTTCTCGTTGTCCTTTGTTCACAAGGAAGTATCACGAGTTAAATAATGGTACCGGGTGGCTGATTGTTGTGTGTGCGTTTCTGAGCCGCAGAAATCGTAATTAAGCACCATAAGCACGGGTGTACCGTTAGACACGGTATAATTCGTAGCCGCTCGTGTCAATGTCGCGCAAATAGACGACAGGTGAAGCTATTACAATGGAATAAAAATAGAACATGGACAGCCGTGGGTTGGCATTTATCAATTACGCAAGACGTTCAGTGGGTACCGACGTATAATGCAGGAGTATTAACAGAATAACCGATAACATGGAAGAAGCTCGAAAGAACAACGGAACATTTTAGATTCGTAATATACACCGCGTTCGTAAACATAACTCGTAAAAAATTGCTGACAAAGGGAATAAAGGATCTTTTGTGCTGGCACATTTGTCACTGACAGGAGTTTTGAATTTGAAGCGTATATTGCTTGATACAAAAAATGGTATTCATAGAAATAAATTCATAATAAAATCAGCATTTCTAATAATCCGACTAGCTTTTTGCTCGTTGAGTCGACGACGTATTATATTATCTGTACAACTAATAATGGAGGCAATTACATTAGAAGCTAGCGAGGAATGACAAAGTCTGGAAACACGCGATACATTCCCACGTGAGTAGTCAATAAAGTTTCTAAGCGTTTGAATTTATAATAGGAGTATAAAAAGCATCTATTTTCACGCGTTCAGTCAAAGACGCAAGACCTATCATTAATATAGATTACTTTTTACGCAAAGTAAAAAAGACAGCATAAATTACTTTTTACGCATTTAGCTTTTTTAAATGTATAATCAGACAACAGTAGACTCAAACTTGTCACACATATTGCACGCACAGGATGTTGTAATTTGTGCATCATTCGATATTGTTTACCTTTGCTTTGTGGCATTGTCTTGACTCTAGTGGCGTAGGGCACCCTGTATACTGGACATTTATTCGTCTCGAGCCTTTGCTCCGAACACCCTATATGCAAAGCAACCTATGTATGTCTCTTCGAGGAGATATACCATACGCGTATGCCTCGAGCATTTGAATTGAATAAATGGATTTACCAAGTGACAAGTAACCTTGACTTTGAAAAAAAATACGCGGGACTGTATGAATAAATAAATAACAATCTATCGGGTAATTGCACGTTATTACAGCGTTTTATGAAATAATGTCGTTAATTACAGTTCGTACGTATGGTTACAAATATCTATGGACGCATGTCTTTGAATCGATTTCCCGCGGCGATTTGAATTTCTAAATATTGTTAATCGACCTTCGACGTAAGATTAATATTTAATAGTAGGTGGACCGTCCGGTTT